GCGCTATGCACTATGCGCTATGTGCATAACGCGATACGCGATTTTCGCGACAAATCCTGAATTTTAGTTCTTTTCAAAATTTCCTGGTTTCAACATTATAGACTAACTTACGTCCACGACTCCGTACGCGTCGAATGGAAAATAGCAAAAGTAGCCTGTGTCCTACACTATGTTCCACATCCATGACAAATTTAATCGAGATCCGTTCAGTTTACGCTACAAACTAACATCCATCTAAACTTTCGCCTTTATAATAGATTAGATAAAAAAAAATCTATCCCAGCATTAAAAACCTACATTTTTAAATTCAAATTTACTTATTAACAATACAGCTGTGATCAAAAGACTGGTTTACGAAATAAAACAACTCATTCTAGTGGAAAAAAAATATTTATTACCATAATTTAACAAATAAAACATGTCAACTATGACACTTCTCATACTTAAAATCTTATAATTATTGCAAAACTTAACTATACTAATGCGAACAAAATATTTACTTAAGCTATACATTTCGACCTTTTTAACATATGACAAGTTCGTAATAAGCTTATAATTAACTAGCGATCCGCCCTGGCTTCACACGGGTCTAACGCTGATACAATTACACGTTAGTTATGTGAAAAATGTTTCAAGTGTCAACTATGCCTCTTGTATATTATTTTTTAAACCCGAGAAAAAGGTTAAATACTAGAAGAAAATATAAAAATATTGAAAAGGCAGTATTTGGTGGTAAAGTGTGTGGATTAGGTGTGTATTGTAATGTGTTTTAAGTGTGAGTTAGGCAGCCTTCAGTAATTGGTGGTAAAGTGTGTTAGGCAGCCTTCAATTATTGGTGGTAAAGTGTGTTAGGCAGCCTTCAGTAATTGGTGGTAAAGTGAGTTAGGCAGCCTTCAATTATTGGTGGTAAAGTGTGTTAGGCAGCCTTCAGTAATTGGTGGTAAAGTATGTTAGGCAGCCTTCAGTAATTGGTGGTAAAGTGTGATAGGCAGCCTTCAATTATTGGTGGTAAAGTGTGTTAGGCAGCCTTCAGTAATTGGTGGTAAAGTGTGTTAGGCAGCCTTCAGTTATTGGTGGTAAAGTGTGTGTGTATTATGTGTGTATTAAGTGTGTATTGTGAGTATTGTGCTAGGCGGCCCTGAGCGCAGTGTCGATGTGTGTGAGCGCGGCGGCGGCGCGGCGCAGCAGCTGCGCCTGCTGGCGGCCGCTGTCGCGCAGCGCCAGCAGGCTCTGGTCGAGAGTCGCCAGTCGCGCTCCGACACGGTTACGCTCTTTTACCAATAACTGCTTCGCTTTTGTACCTATATTATCAATTACTTAATACAGTAGAACCTCGATAAGTTAAAGTCCAAGGGAAACAGAAAATATTTGAGTTATAGAGGTTTTAAATTATCAAGTTATAATTAAATATATTGTAGAAGTTTTGGGTTCCGATGGGAAGAGAACATATTATTTTTTGAAGTTATACAGGTTTGAGTTATCGAGGTTCTACTGTTTTTTTTTTATAACATAAGTTGGCAAACTCGCAAGCGACCTGAATCCACCGAAATGTAAAGCGACCGCTGCACATAGACATCCGCAATTGCAGCGCTGCCTACCCTTCATTGACGGAGACGTACATAAAGAGGACATTTCCCCTTCATATGCTTCTCCACCGTCAAATCCAGTTTTCCTTCTCATCCTTTCCTCTTAAGAAAAGGGTGAAAAGGGAAAGGGACTAAAATTAGGCCTCCGGCACCACACTCAACAGACTGCACGCGGAATTGCTTCCACTTCACACCTGTCTTCTGTGTGATCGTGGTATTGCTGAGAGCCCTACAGTGTGAAGATGTTATAGCGGGCTATACCACTGTAGAACCGTTGCATTGAACTTTTTTCTGTAGAACACACTCAACAATACCACGACCACACAGACAGGCGTGAAGTGGAAGCAATTCCGTGTTTCGTCTGATGAGTGTGGTGCCGGAGGCCTAATTTAAGTCCCTTTCTCTTTACCACTATTTTCTTATAAGGAGAGGATGGGAAGGGGAAATGACCACTTTATGTGCGTCTCCGTCAATGAAGGGTAGGCAGCGCTGCAATTGCGGATGTTTATGTGCAATCGCTTCGCCATTTTGGCGGATTCAGGTAGCTTGCGAGTTTGCCACCTTATATTATAAAAAAACACCGCGAATTTGCCTAGTTTTGTTTCAGTTTAATATTAAAATAATATTACCTAATAAGGGAAGATAATCGCCGGCTCGTTCCGCTCTTATATCCAACGTGAACCATTCATCCAAGTCCTCAGACTCCGAGGATAAAATCTCCTGATAATAAAAGAAAAAAAAAAAACATTTTTTTTAGCTATCTGCTTTAGCTTTAGCTTTAGCTTTAGCTTTTATAGCTATCTGTACTAATATTATAAAGAGGAAAAATTTGTTATTTTTGTATTGAAATAACTCAAAAACTACTTCGGTAGATTTTAAAAACTCCTTCACCGTTAGATAGCTACTTTATTAGTCAGTAATAGGCTATGTTTATTTTTTTTAATTTCACGCGGGCGAAGTCGCGAGCAACTACTAGTTTTACATAATTGAAGGCCTGAAATTTAACGTTTAACTAACCATGGTTAGTCATTATTATACTAAAAAGATTAAAAGCCTGTCCCAACACTGGCTGATAGAGACTCAGATAGCTTAAAAATGACTGTCAGATAATGTAACAAAATCTGATATTTCTATCACATATTTTAAACGGTCGTTATCAGACAATTTACAATTTGGTAGATAAGCCCTTAGATTTCAAATCTAACACTTCCACTCCAATTTGTATTACAATTTTGTCGTCTGTCAGATTGTAAGGAGTTTACGAAACAAAATTAAGACTTTTTAAAATATCAATGTAATACCTAAGTGAAGATAGACTTAGGGCCTGTTCTACCAAATTGTAAAATATCTAATAAGAATAGAACGTGTAAAATATGTGATGGAAATATCTGATTTTGTTCCCTTATCTGACAGTCATTTTGAAGCTATCTTAGCCTCTATCAGCCACTGGTGGGACAGGCACTTAGGCGAGAAAATTGAGGGTTAACAAATCTTATTAATATTACAAATGCGAAAGTTTAGATGGATGTTTGTTAGAGTTTGTAGCCTAAATTACTAAACGGATTTCAATAAAATTTGGTATAGATGTAGAGGATAGTCTGGAAGAACACATAAGCTATTCCACGCGGACGGAGTTGCGGGCTAAACCTAGTATATGAATAAACGTAGCAGTAGATAATTAAATATTACACTCACATCGTATAAGCTCTCATCAGAAACGCTATCACCATCAGAAGGAACCTCCTCATCCATCCTCTCCGGCCTCATAATCCTCTGCCGTATCTTCTGCCTGGAACCTTCCTCGTCATCCGTCTCCAACTCCTGGTCACAAAAATATGGAGTTCTTAAAACATTTCTACCCACAACAGAAACAAAGGATTTTCGTATATTCTTAAGCTAGCTGTTGCTTGCGACTTCGCTCGCATTAAATTAAAAAAATATATGTTACTAATAACGTCGCTTTTTTATTGTGATTATTTTTAAAAGGCCCAGTAGTTTGTGAGTTATTTCATTACATATAAAAATACAAATCTTTATAGTAATAATACAAAAAGGAACGATTTGTATTTTTGTATTGAAATAACTCAAAAACTACTGGGCCAATTTAAAAAAATCTTTCGCCGTTAGAAAAGTAATTTACTCTTGAGTACATAGACTATGTTTTTTATTACTTTCTTATTTCACGCGGACGAAGTCGTGAGCAACAGCTGGTTATTTATAATATTAGTACAGACTAGCTTTTGCTCGCGACTTCGTCGACGTAAAATTATACAACCTATGTTACTGAATGATAAAGTAGCTTTCTAATGGTAAAAGAATAGTTGCAATTGGCCCAGTAGTTTTTGAGTTATTTGTTGAAATAACTCAAAAACTACTGGGTCATATTTTGTATATATATCTATTGACAAATACATACAAAAATACACATCTTTCCTCTTTATAATATTAGTAGACACCAGCAAATAGTAATTCAATGAGATATATTAAAAAATCATAAAAATAAATATACTCTACATACCCCAACTTCATCCAGATCAAACTCCTCTTCATCCAGAAACTCCTCCTCGTTGATGATCTCCTCCGACTCTTTCACTCTCTGTCTCGGCTCTTCTTTACTCACCTGCTTTAATATCACTTGTCGATGCGACGTCGGCGGCAACGGACGTTTGTCTAATTTGTTCAAGGATATTACATGTTTTTAGAATATAAGCAGAAATAAGAAATCAAATTATGATCAAAAAGATCAGTGAAATTATAAATAAATCATTTAATTCTATACATTTATCAAATGACAAAATTCAAATGCATAAATGTTGGCAGCTTGTACTTTATGGTCCCTTTCCCGCATGGAGTTTTTTTTCCAATTTTTGTAACTCTTAGTTTAATAGCGTGAAAATAAGTGTGCTGGAAATGTAGGGCTTATTATAAAAGAGAGAATTATTCAAAAATATACTGTTATTGCTGACATCTTACATAACAAAGTTCGTTAACTGTACAATTTTAGTTAAATTTTTAAATTCGTCGTTATATTAAAAAGTCTTTCTAACAGTGAAAGCATCTAAAAATCGTCCCAGTAGTTTTTGAGTTATTTCAATACATACAAAGATCCAAAAATCCAAATCTTCTTTATAATATTAGTATAGATACACCCCCTAGGTCCTTAAAAAATGTGTAAGGGTAACGAAAAGCATAGTCACCCATAAAAAATGTGTACTTTGTAATACTTACTGGTATTACCATGTAGACTGACGACACGTTTGGTGACAGTTTGTAGCGCGTTAATACCACCGATGGTGGTGCTTTTTGCCGCCACGGGGCGGGGGCTCGGCGCCGCCGCGCGCCGCGTCACAAACATACTCTTCATTGTCGCCACTTCGTCTGACAACTACACAACATATAACTTTATGAACTACTAGTTTATGCCCGAAACTCCCTTCGTGTAAAATTAAAAATAATATAAAATATATGTTATGTTACTCTGTGATGACATAGCTTTTTTATGGTGAAAGAATTTTTGAAATTGTCCCAGTAGTTTTTGAGTTATTTCATTACAATCAAACAAAGATTTCCTTTTTACAATATTAGTATAGATTATTACCTATCTATACTAATACGAGTATTATAAAGAGGAAAGATTTATTGAAATAACTAAAAAACTACTGGGACAATTTTAATTCTTGAACCATTAAAAAGCTATGTTATCACTGAGTAACATAATCCATGTTTTTCTGAGATTTCTAGAGCTAACAACATATAATAATAAATTAAAGACTAGATATTACTCGCGACTTCGCCAGCGTGAAATTAAAAAATAACAAAACACATGTAAAATAAAAAAAATGCCTATGTTACACACACTCAAATTACCTTTCTAATGATGAAAAAATTGTTAAATTTGACCCAGTAGTTTTTGAGTTATTTCAATACATACAAAAATACATAAATATAAATCTCTCCTCTTTATGATATTAATACAGACTAGCTGCTCCCATGCGGCTATGTCCACATTAATATTATGAAAAAGTTTATTTTATTGTTTATATTAGCGAAATGTTTAATTGCAAATATCCAAATTCAAATACACAAGTGACAACAAAGGCCTTTGATATTGGGTAACAATTACCATTACCATGACAACCAAGCTTTTATGTTGTCAGCTTGTAATTATTGTCCCCATTCCCCATATTTTTCTTTCTCTCGTCTATTGTAGGCGTTTTGTGTCAATATAATATACTCCATGACACTCTGGAGAAGACGAATCAAATGACAGTTCATTTATCAAAATCAGTTAAGTATTTTAGACTGTAAGCTGTAACATACGAAAAGCATTACACTTATTAAAAAATACTAACCTCATCTTTGTCACTCATATCTTCCGGTTCCGCTTTAGTCGCGTAGTTTTTCAAATATTTCTTCGCTACCTTCACTCTTGACACCTTCGTACTCTAAAGTTTAAAAAAAATATTACATCAATATCTTAATTTCTCCACCACTTGCGCTACTTTCAAACTTACTTCAAATGTACATATATATATGCAATTTTTTATTGTTTTAGTAGATTTTTTTGTTAATTTTCGAAATATGAATGGCGGGATTCGAACCCACGACTAACAAAATCGGTACGCGACACCATTAACCAATGGCTGGTAAAGACATCTATACTATTATAATAAAGCGTAAACACACACTTCTTTGTTGCCTAAGATGTCAGCAATTACAGCATATTTTTGAATAATTCTTTTTATAATAAAAAGCCCTACACTTATGTCACGCTTTAGGCTATATATTTTCACGCCATTAAACTTAGGGTGTAAATATTTTGGATAGAAACCCTAATGTGGGAAAGAGACCATAAGTTGTTGCCAACATCAAGAAAGAAGGAAGCTAAAGTTTGTAATGTTATGTCATTTTGGTATTTGTTATTGATAATTTGACGAATGTAAACAATAAAATAAAGTTTTCATAATTTCATGAAGCCGCACGGGAACAGCTAGTACTAATATAAATGCGAAAGTTTAGATGGATGTTTGTTAGAGTTTGTAACCTAAACTGAACGGATCTCGTTGAAATTTGACATAGACGTAGAGGATAGTCTGAAAGAACACATAGGCTACTTACTTTTTTTAATTTCACGGGGACAGAGTCGCGGGCGCAAGCTAGTTTCCTAAAACTTACCCCAAATATAAAATCATCATCTTCATCGGATGATACTTCTTTTATTTCCTTCTTAATTAATTTTAAATTAGGTTTCTTCTTACGTTTTGCTTCATCTTCACCAAGCATTCTCTGTTATTACAGAAAATGACAGATTATTTTTTTATAATACAAAGTGGCAAACGAGCAAGCCACTTGAATCCGCCAAAACGGCGACCGCTGCCCAGGCTACAATTGCAGCGTTGCCTACCCTTAATTGACGGAGGAGACGCACATAAAGAGGATATTTCCTCTTCCTATGCGTCTCCTCCACCGTCAAATCCACTTTCCCTTCCCATCCTTTTTTTTATAGGAAAAGGATGGTAAGAGAAAGGGACTTTTATTAAGCCTCCGGCACCACACAATTGCTCCCACTTCACGCCTGTTTTCTGTGTGGTCATTTATATTGGTGGGGGCGAGTCAAAAAATTCTTGCAAAGATGTTAAAGCGGGTTCTACCACTGTTATACACATAATATATCTGTTGCTTGCGTCTTTACGTTGAATTTAAAAAAGTAATAAACATCGCCTATGTTACTCAGTGATAAGCTATGAGATGGTGAAAGAATTTTTGAAATTGTCCCAGTAGTTTTTGAGTTATTTCAAGACATACAAAAATACAAATCTTTTCTTTTTTTATAATATTAGTATAGATATAAATAAAACGTAAACGCACTATTTAGGACCTGTCCCACCAAATTGTAAATTATATAGCTATCCAACAAGTGAAATATATAACGGAAATATCGGATTTTGTTCCCTTATCTGACAGTGACGTCACTTAAACTGCCCCTATATCAGTTAGTGGTGGGACAGGCCCTTAGTTACGTTGGATGTCAGCAATCACATACACTTAACTTTAGGCTATATATTTTTACTCTATTAATCTTAGGAAGTAAATAATTTGGAAAAAAATCATGTGGGAAAGGGACAAATACTACAAGCTGACAACATTAAGGAAGCAAGTTTGCTGGTAACGGTATTTGTTGTCTGTGCATTTGAATTTTGACAATAAAATAAAGTTTTTATAATTTCATGCGAATGAAGCCACAGGGGAATAACTAGTTTATAATATTAGTATAGAAATATGGATTTTCATACATACCAATAATTCATCAGTATCATGGCCATCATCGTCTGAATGTTTAGAGTCTATCTCACTCTCTTTACCTTCTGTCTCCTTCTTTATTGGTTTATCTGACTTCCTTATCAAGAATGCTCCCAATTCTTCTGGAAAGTCTTTGTCCTGGAATGAAAAATCAAACATGATTTTTTTTTTTTTTTTAGTTCTTTCTTTGTAGTAATAAATCTATATCTATACTACTATAATAAAGCGTAAACACACACTACTTTGTGATGGATGTCAGCAATCACAGCATATTTTTGAATAATTCTTTCTTTAATAAAAAGCTCTACACTTGCGACTCGCTTTAGGCTACATATTTTCACGCTATTAAACAAAATGAAAATAACCTTCATGTGGAAAAGGGACAATAAACTACAAGGTGCCAACATTAAGAAAGCAAGGTTATTATGGTGACGATAATTTTGATATTTGCAATTGAGAATTTGACAAATGTAAACAATAAAATCATGCTATTATAATTTAATGTGGATGAAGCCGCACCGGAACAGCTAGAGCATTCTACAAGCTTTCCCCTGCGACTCCGTCTGCGCGGAATTAAAAAATAAAAGTAAGTATCTGTTTCAGACTACCCTGTATATCTATGAAAAACATCGAGATACATTTAGCAGTTTAGACTACAAACTCTAACAAACATCCAACTTTCTATTCTTTTTCATCATAAAGTCATAGATGTAAAAAAATCTGTAAGATGCAGCCTATTTACTTTAGTTCTTTTTTAAATCTTTCAGAGATACGAATAAAGCGACTTTTTTTTATATCAACAAACAAGCGGCCACCTGAATCTGCCAACATGGCCAAGCGACCGCTGCCGAGACATTCGCAATTGCAGCGTTGCCTACCCTTAATCGACGGAGGAGACGCACATAAAGAGGACATTTCCCTCATGCGTCTCCTCCACCTTCAAATCCATGTTCCTTTCTCATCCTATTCATATAAAAAAAGGTGAAAAAAAGGGTCTAAAGTTGGGCCTCCTACACTACACTCATCAGACTGCACGCGGAATTGCTTCCACTTGACGCGTGTTTTCTGTGTGGTCGTGGTATTGTGTGGAGGCCTACAGTGTGAAGATGTTAAAGCGGACTCCATTGTTAAAGGGTTAAAAGTAAGAGGATTATATGTCCTTACATTTGAATTCTCCAGATTATTCAATGTTTGTTCTATATTCTCCTGTTCATGTCCATCCTGTGCGTTGGAGTCCCCTGTATCATGGTAAACCGAGTTCTCTGCACATTCCTGTGCGCTTGTCATTGTATCCTCTTGACTCATTATTGCATAATCACTCTGTTCACCCTGGAATCATATCATAGTAATATTATTAACTAGCTTTCACCCCCAACTCCGTTTGTGTGGAATTAAAAAAACCAACGCTAAGTAGCTTATATGTTCTTCCAGACTATCTATGTCTATACCAAATTTCATCGAAATCCGTTCAGCCGTTTAGGCTACAAACTCTAACAAACATCCATCCATCTAAACTTTCGCATTTATAACATTAGTATGATGAGAAAGTTTAGATGGATGTATGGATGTTAGTTTGTAGTCTAAACAGCTGATTGGTTCATCTATACTATTATTATCAAGCGCAAACACAATTCTTTGTTGCCTAAGATGTCAGCAACTACAGCATATTTTTGAATAAACCTATTGTTAATAAAAAGCCATACACTTACGTCATGCTTTAGGCTATATATTTTCACGCCATTAACCTTAGGGGCTAAATACTTTAGATAAAAACCCTAATGTGGGAAAGAGACCATAAGTTGTTGCTAACATCAAGAAAGCAAGATTGTCAAGGTTTGTCATGTCATGTCATTTTGACATTTGCTATTAATAATTTGACAAATGTAAACAATAAAATAAAGCTTACATAATTACATGCGGATGAAGCCGCACGGGAAGAGCTAGTTATAAATATTTCAATCTTTATTTTTAGTTCATTATTGTTATTTATTCTTTGAATTTATATTATTTAATATTAATGCGTCCCATGGGAACCGTAACTATTTCCGGGATAAAAAGTAACCTATGTGTTCTTCCAGACTATCCTCTACATCTGTACCAAATTCCATCAAAATCTGTTCAGCAGTTTAGGCTACAAACTCTAACAAACATCCATCCATCTAAACTTTCGCATTTATAATATTAGTATGATTTAATTACTATGTGTCATGTGTATTGTTGTTCCTAATTTTGTTGTAATACAGTAGAAACTCGATAAGTTAAAGTCCGCGGGAAACACAAAATATTTTAAGTTATACAGGTTTTAAGTTATCAAGGGTCTATGTTGTAGAGGTTTTGGGCTCTGATGGGATGAGAACATATTATTTTTTGAAGTTATAGAGGTTTTTAAGTTACCGAGGGAGTTGAGGTTCTACTTTATTAAGGATTATTTTTTTTTTTATATTTTCAATTCTATTTCTACTTCATCATATCACCAGTTCACTATACACTACAGGCTCGGATCCTATCCTAAGTAAGGGGTGACTAGGACATAGTCAACCACAGTGCACTGTGGGTTGGTTGACTTCATACATATCTTTGAATTTCTCTGCCAATACCTGCAGTCATCACGATGTTTTCACCGTAAGAACGTCGGGTATTTTCATATGTGCATTATTTAATGCACATATGAAAATTCAAAAAATCTAAAATCACATTGGTACGGCGGGATTCGAACCCAAGACCTGTAGATTACAAGTCAAGTGCTTAAACCCATTAGCCACCGATACCGCTGTTCTATTTCTACTTACAGTTTGATAATAATCATCTTCACTGAGTACATCTTCACTGAGCCACTCCTCCTGACCTTCTTCCATTGCCTCTTCTTGCTCCTGCTTTTGAGACTGTAACATGATAAATACAAGCATGAATTTAAAACAACTCTGTTATATATGATAAGTCTGCACTAAAGCCCTAATTTATGTCCCTTCTCTTATAAAAGGATTCAAGTGGCCGCTCTTACCTTAGTTTATAAATTACTAGCTTTCGCCCGCGACTCCATCTGCGCGGAATAAAAAAAAACAAAAGCAGGTAGCCTATGTGTTCTTCCAAACTATCTTCTACATCTATGTCAAATTTCATTGATATCCCTTCAGCTGTTTAGGCTACAAACTCTAACATCCATCCATCTAAACTTTCACATTTATAATATTAGTAAGTAAGATTTCAATATTATAAATTATTTAAGAATCTCTTTATAATACTCATATAGATAATACAAAAAAGGACTGTTTGAGGTCAGCTGAATAAATATATACATTTATAGAACTTAAGACACTTATATGATATATTAGCTTTCACCCATGAATTGGTCCACATGGAATTAAAAAAAAACAAAAGTGGATAGCCTATGTGTTCTTCCAGACCATCCTCCACACAAATTTCATTTAAATGTGTTCAGCCGTTTAGGCTACAAATTCTAACAAACATCCATCTAAACTTTCGCATTTATAATATTAGTAAGATTAGTAAGAAGTATATCAAAGGAAGTCTACTAGTAGCCCTAGTCGTAGAGATATTATGGAGTATGGTACGAGGAAGGAAGAATTGCATCATCAAGATGAGAATTAGTCCTTTGGTTTTAAAAATATGCAATATCCATCATTAACATTCATTCATGTTAATACGTGTGTCTTTCCACGCGTATGTTTTTTTACACTATTCTAGCTACCGGCTTATTTTATTCGACTCAAAAGAGGTTGATTACTATATCTTAATAAATGACCTTACCTGCAATTTAAACATTTTGGCCGATGGCTCTTCGTTATCAGACATATTGATTGTTTTTAAAAGAAAACAATCCGAAGATTCTTTGAGGCAAGAATAAAACTTTCAGAGATAAATCATAACCTCTACAACAAAGCAAACAAACGATCGATATAGAATACGTCAGTGAGACAGTTCCTAAATGTTGCCATAAAATAATTAAATCCGCCCAAATCAATGGTAGGTTTAGTTTTCAATCTACTTCATGTCATTTTATTATAATGTAAAATTAAGATTAGTATTTTATTACCTAATCGTTACTTATATTCTATTTTATTAATATCTAAAATTGATAATTTTTTAATTCTACTATTAGTTTTGTAGTGTTCCCAACATCCGATATGGTCTAGTGGCTAGGATACCTGGCTCTCACCCAGGAGGCTCGGGTTCGATTCCCGGTATCGGAAGTCTATTTTTTGGCAAAACAACCGGTAATTTTTCCCGCGTTCCTACAAGATAATCCATGACAAATTCAAAATTGTTATTGCGTTGCTAAGCAACGAATGTTTAGTCAATACATAATCTGATAAAAAATTAAATATATTTGTTAAAACAATGAGCGGAGATACAATATACGAAGCAAGGAGAAAATGCAATGTTTCAAAAATGCGTGCACATGATTACTTGTTTGGTAAGATTTGCAGATTGTGGCGCCCCCGTCGGTCCAGCTTTCTGGGTGGTTGCCGCCCTTGCCTCTTTTTGTTTAAACATGAAATATCTCCCGCCGACCTTGGTTATTAGTACGAAAAATTTTATATCATCCAGATACGTCCTTCGTGGTGTCCGGGGCCCGGGATTACGCCAGAACAGCATTCAAAGCCGCCATGAGTTCTGCACAAGTGGTGAGTTTGGGAAAACTTTACAATAGCTAATCATACCGATTACATTTACATTCTTTGATTTCTTTTTGTGTAGGTAGTATATTGTTTTGAAGAAAAAAAACAAATTTGTTTTGTATCTTCCCATATTAATAATCGAAAATGGTCTAAGTCACATTACCTTTTTAGGTTCGTTTTTTATTTTATAAAATGTATTCCAAAAGTAACCTAAACAATTATTTGAATTGTGACTGTCAAATTTTTCAGACCGTTCATCCAGTCTACAGCACTATGTTCTCTGAATTAAGGGAGTTTCCAAGAGTGGAAGTTGGTAAGTTTTTTGTTATCTGACTTCAAAACACTCGGAAGGTAAATAGTGTGTTTTTAAGTGAGTATGTACAGTCGGGTAAACTGTTGGTGTTCCAACTACGCTACAATCATTTTGAACATTTTGAAACGAGACTCGGAACAAAGATCAATACAAAGTAGCTTATAAATGTAAAAAAGTGGGTTAGTGATACACTACTACGTTATTTTGATTAAAATCTCTTTGCACCACTCACTGCTATGTAATTGGTTATTTGTAACAGACGGAGTTTGTCTCGTTGCAATAAAGATGACAATTTTTCCTAAAGTAGAATAACAACGGGTATTTCCGCGACATTTTTTTTTGATTTCCGGGATATTTTTATTATTAATTTTCCAATTGTTTACTCACTGCTAATTAGTTTGTTATAAGAGGTGGTGTTCATCTTGTTAAAAAAATATGTTTGAAAGTGGAACACCGCGGATTTGCACGATTGTACAATTTCATTGTCTACTGGAGTCTATTTTGACAATTGAAGTGTATTTATGTTTGTATTCTATCGCTGAGTGTTACAGAGATGTAGTTAGGAGTGTTATTTATATTACAAGGTGGCAAACGAGCAAGCCACCTAAATTCGTCGAAATGGCGAAGCGACATGCATAGACATACGCAATAGTGTTGGGTTGCCTCCCCTTAATATACGGAATAGGTACATAAACAGGATCCTTTCTGTGTGTCTCCTCCGCCGTCAATTCCACTTTTACTTCCCACACTTTCCTTATAAGCAAAGTGTGGAAAGGAAAAGGGACTAAAGTTAGGTCTCCGGCACCACACTCATCAGACGAAACGCAAATTTACTCCCACTTTACGCCTGTCTGTGTGGTCGTGGTATTACACCGGGCGAGTCCTACAGTGCGAAGATGTTAAAGCGGGCTCTACCACTGTTGAAATTATTTTTAAATTAATTTATTCAGTTTGATTTTATTACAGTATACCATCCTAATTGTCGTCTTCCTAGCCATGTGGATTGCTCATACGATGCTTACCAAGAGCGACAGAAGGAGGCTCGATCTATTCCTCTCCCAGATCCCAATTCTGGGAAGTATTATTTCACATTTTGTGCTTTGTGAGTATTCTATACTCTTATTATTTACTAGCTTTCGTCCGCGACTTCTCCGCGTGGAATAACATAAGTAAGTAGCCTGTGTTTTTACTATGCTCTGCATCTATGCCAAATTTTATCGAGTTCCGTTTAGGCTACAAACTCTAACAAACATCCATCAAAATTTTTGCATTTTTAATATTGGTATAAAGTATGATTATTTATTTATTACGAGCTGTTCCCCGTCACTTCGTCCGCGTGATGTTAGAAAACATACTAACTATATAAATTACAAAAAGCTACGTACCCCTCGGGAACCGGACATTTCTGGGGGATGAAGCTTATCCCATGTGTACTCCAGACTTTGTTTTATATCTGTGCCAAATTTCAATAAGATATGTTGTACCGTTGCAGAATGATCGAGTAAACATTAAAAAACTAAATTAATGAATCCCACGAGAACCGTAACAATCCCGGGATAAAAAGTAGCCTATGTGTTCTTCCAGACTACGCTCTAAACCTGTGTCAAATTTCATGGAGATCGGTTCACTCGTTTATGCTACAAACGCTAACAAACATCCATCCATCCATCCATCTAAACTTTCGCGTTTATAATATTAGTAAGAAGTAAGATTTTACACAAAACACAATTTACAAATATAGACATATTCCAACCGTTTTGTAAATAATTTAAATATCGATTTAGGATAAGGAGATGATGATGATGATGATGATGATTGATTTTAGATTTGAATTTAATGCTGATGTGTTTTTAAGCTATTATTAGGCTTTCAGTGACTGTTTATTTTCTTTTTTAGACCCAAGAAGATGGCGTTGCAAATAAAAAGTGTCACACCAGAGTTTAAATCGCCAAGGTCTTATTGTGCGTCAAAGTATGCAGGTCGACCCAAAAACAAGGGTACTCAAAGTTTGTACAGGTAAGATTAAAACCGTTGTAGAATATAGAAATTAAAAGGAAAAATGTATCCTATGTTACTAAGTAATAACGTAGCTTTTCAATGGTGAAAGAATTTTTGAAATTGACCCAGTAGTTTTTGAGTTATTTCAATACATACAAAAATACAAATAAATCCTTTTATTTTTATAACTAGTACAAGTATAGATTGGAGTGTCTGTAATATAAAAAGGAAAATTCCATATTGCGTTGCTGATAACGAAAATCCATTTAACAAAACGCATTTTTGTCCTTCTGTCCGTAAGCCGCGTTTGTTCCGGGTATTTTCTAAAACGTCTGGGCCGATTTTTACGGGACTTTGACTGGAAGGTAGCTTGTAGGGCACGCGGGAATTATAGAAAACCATTTTTAATTCCGCGCTAACGTTTTTGCGGGCGATTGTTCGTTTGTACTAATATTATAAAGAAGAAAGATTTGTATTTTTGTATATATTGAAATGAACTCTAAAACTACTGGAATTTCAAAAACTCTTTCACCATTAAAAAGCTGTTATAAGTAACTTAGGCTATAATTTTATTTTCACACGGGCAAAGTCGCGAGCAACAGGTTAGTGTTGTTAGTTAGTTAGTTAGTTAGTTAGTTAAAAGTCGTCAAATGGAAACAATTCCGTGCTTCGTCTGATGAGTGTGGTGCCGGAGGCCTCTAATTTAAGTCCCTTTCTCTTCACAACACTTTTCTTGTAAAGAGAGGATGAAAAGAGGAAGTGGATTTGACAGTGGAGGAGATGCATAGGAAGGGGAAAATATCCTTTTTATGTGCGTCTCCTCCTCCGTTGAATAAGGGTAGGCAACGCATCCGCAATTGCGGATGTCTATGGGCAGCGGTTGCTTCGCCACTTTGGCGATTTCAGGTGGCCGCTTGCTCGTTTGCCACCTTATGTTTTATAAAAAAAGGTTAACAAATAAATATTTTCAGAGAATCATCAGCACAGACGATCCCCTGGCAGGCGGAGGCGCGCCCCGCTGAGGACTGCGAAGAGACTCCTGAAGTATTGTTCCTAGATAAACTACAATGGGGTAAGAATTATAGTAAAGCGCCAATAGCCTAATGGTTTGTGGTACGGAGCACTGATCTTGCGGTCGGGTGTTCGAATCCCGCCATTAGACTATTGTGAACCATATCCTAGCATAAGCCTACAGCTTAGTTGGAATGGTTAAAGGAAATATAGTAGATTAACAAAAATCTAATAATGTTTTTAATTAAAAAAGGGTACTTTTTAAAGCCAGTTGTTGCTCGTGTCTTCTTCCGCGCGGAATAAAAATTGTAATAAATGCTTATGTAGTTATTTATTGGTAAAGCAATTTTCGAAAACGACCCAGTAGTTTTTGAGTTACCTCAATACATACAAAAATGCAAATCTTCTTTATATATTAGTGTGAAGTCTTTCGACTAACATCAGGTAATATTGGGTGATTTATGACATTTTCTTGTAGGCGTGGTACTTAGGTATTTCAACAAAATAGTTGTCTTGATTATTAGTGTAGTCGTAATCCTCAATATCACAATTCATATTTCCACTAAATAATTATAGATCATAACGATATGTTTCGATTAAGATATTGAATTGACGTCCACCGAACACATGGTCGCGCGCGCATTCCATCGCGACTCAAATGGAACTGACTCGATTAACAAAATGGCCGCCCTACCAGTGCTCGGTGTTCGCCATGAAATAGATTATTTGTTTACTATCAATGAAGTAATTGTTAAGGTCCAGGACATCCGTATCGTCAGGGCGACTTGCCGGCTGATTTCCACACAACTGAAATTATCAATAAGTAAGTTGAATCAATCTTAAATCAATAATTTCGATTAATGGCCATTTTAATGTAACTAGTTTTAACAAGTTAAACTATACTAATAATAAAACGTAAACACACACTTCTTTGTCGCCTAACATGTCAGCAATTACAGCATATTTTTGAACAAATCTTTTTTCAATAAAAAGCCCTACACTAACGTCACGCTTTAGGCTACATATTTTCACTCCATTAAACTTAGGGGATAAAGTTTTGGATAAAAATCCTAATGTGGGAAAGAGACTATAAGTTGCTGCCAACATCAAGGAAGCAAGATTTCCATGTTTTGTCATGTCATGTCATTTTGACATTTGCAATTGACAATTTGACACATGCAAACAATAAAATAATTTATGCTGATAAATTCGCAAGGGAACAGCTATATTTTAATAAATTTAATAGCGTCCCCCAAAACTACCCCATTTAGGCGCGCCGGGCACTCGGCCCTAAGTCAAGGTCCACTAGGTCTAGGATGGGATCCTCCTGAAACTGTTCAAGGTCATCGGCTGTCTTCCATATTTTTGTTACTGATATTTTACTTAAATTTGGATTTCAGGATGCGTCATGCGAGGAAATGGATGGAATTAGTTGACAAGGGTCAGTTCCCCGAATGGATGAAGAAACGAGATGACATCATAAAAGATGTTGAGACAAAAGATTGGATATTTAGAGAAGCGGTAAGAATCCTCAGTTTCTATAACTGAAATATTAAATACTAGCCTTTGCTTGTGACTTCGTTCGCGTGAAATTAAAATAAAATGTTAAAAATGTAGCCTATATTACTCGTGGATTATACAGCTTTGTAACTGCGGAAGAATTTTTAAACACGGTCCAGTCGTTTTTGAGCCTATTCATTACAATCAAACAAAGCTCTTTATAATATTAGTTTGACATAGATTTCTAGAATCTCCAAAGGGGACTCAC